GGGGGGGGGGGGGGAGTCGGCTACTGACCCCCCCCCCCTTCAAATTATTCTGAATCCGCCCTTGCAATAGTGCATCAGACACTAAACAAACCGCACCAGGGTGGTGAGTTACCCTTCAACCCCGCACCGACAGCACGTAAAGCGTAGAGAAGTCAATGGAGGCCATCCACCATGACAGGCCGAGATGATGATGATACATGTATATGCTTTTCACAAGAGTCCAAAATATCCCCTTAGATATCCTACCCCCCTCCCTCCAAAAAAAAAAAAAACAATAAAAAGAGAACAAAAGGGAGGGGAGACCCACTCTAAATATTTTTGGGAAAAAAATTCAGATCATTCACGCGAATATTTTCCTATAAAGTATTGTCTCTACAGTCTATCAGTCGAGGTCACTCATTTAAGGAGGATTTTACCCTAACAATGAAAGGCTTTCCAATAACTGATTATCAGCCACTGCGGCATCTACGTGGTCTCCTTTCAATTTGAATAACATAATTTTTTGGATCAATAAAATTGACTTACTTGTTATATTTCCCAGCGAAGTGATTTTCACAAACACGAATGAAAAGTCCCCGTTTATAAATAGACGCAACTCAGCAAGTGCGCATATACAGGCAAGCAGGTCACTGGTAGGCCTATTTACGTCATACCCGCAATATAAATAAGGTGAGTTTTATCCATATCCAATTTACTGCCTACACACAGATTTCTAGAGATGTCCTCTGTTAGTGTCTGTTCTAGGGGAGTGACTTGCCCCCTATTAACCGCTTAAAGGGATATGAAAATTGTTGTTTACTCCAGGAAAAGTTTTTGGCCAAAACGAAGAGTTATTATAATAACTCTTCGTTTTGGCCAAAAACTTTTCCTGGAGTAAACAACAATTTTCCCGTACTTAACCAATGGTTAATGAATCCATTTTTACATTCAAAGTTAGTCTCTGTTTTTTCTTTTCTTTTTTTTTTTCTAAAAATTTTTTTTTGTTATAATCTCTTAAGAGATTATAACAGAGTATAGGCATCAATGGAGGTTACGTGGTCTAAAGACAAGCTCAGATATCAGAATAATAGCTATGACTGCCGTTTTTGTGGTAAAACAGAATATATTATATTTCTATGAGTTGTTCACAATGTTTTTATTGTGGAATATAGATCTCACACGAAGAGTTATTATCCCTTTAAGGTACATAGGTTTGCGTAAATGATTACATAACGACAATACAAGGAGAAGACTGAGCAAGGAACGGGGCTCCCGTATACAGCGTCACATTCAGTTTTCAAAAGTTCTACACGTTTAGGTACGTTTATTTGAGAATGGGACACGTGACCACATTTCAAACGCAGATTTCCCATAAATACCCCGCTTTGTGCAAGCACCTTGCTTCTACCACTAATTGTAGACTTGCTGGATTTGCTGTTCTCGAGTAAAGTGAGGGATATTGTGATAGATTTGTAAATTACCATGATGGTTAGTTTATTAGTTAATCAATATATATAATTTGAAATATAATGGGTTAATAATGCAGATAACAGCTGTGTCTATTTCTGCGTGCAGTAAAAATCCCCTGTATCTCACATCTCTTCATGCGTGTACTGCATGAGGAAAGAATTAGGTCAAGGACTGTTTATTACTTGTAGCTCTACCAGAGCCGCAGTTGGCAGTAAAGAAGCACCCTGGTTTTCAGAGGTTACTTTTCACTTTACCTGTGCTATTAGTATACTAGGTTCTGTTAAAAAATACTAATTAGCCCAAATATTGTACTAAACTTTTCATGCCAAAGTTGAGTCTTTTTTGACTAATGAGGCGGTAGTAATACTGATCTATCTATTTACTCGAAAGCTAGAAAGATTCAGCTACATGTACACAAATAACAGTACAACCGTTGGCACCCTTTTATTTTACTCCAGCACAGCCTCTATCAGCCGTTGGAATTTTTTCTGATATAAGCACGATTGATAGAGAAATCAAAAATAACAATAATAGCACCTTTAATTGACTCAAAAACGCTGATATGACGTCAACTACAAAATCGACATATTTCATATGTGGTCATAACCCATGAACATTACACGATAATGTTATAATAGGCAGTAGTTTAAAAAACATTTCACCCTGATTTTAACTAGCAGGGTGTGTATCGATCCATTAGTAATGTAGTATTGTTGACTTAATTAACTCAGTCAATATTGATGTAAGTACTATACAGGTTACTGGTGACAAAGGTGGCATGCCAAGATACATGTAGGACCACGGACAAATAGACGTTGGGAAAATCACTGATGTCAACTTTGACCTACCAGCGATGTGTTATTTGGAGATATAAATACATCTTTTTGGCGCTCTTCCACATTATTAAGTACATTATTGAAGATAAGCGCCATGTGTATGAACACGTGCTTAAATGTGTAACCGGTATAAAAACCTTTTGGTTTGTAATTCGGCACGACTTTCGTTTCAGACAGGCCGGTGCAATAGTGTGTGGGTTGTTCTAGTACGTCCGTTTTGTGAAATATGGCGACCGGAGGTGCAGACGAAGATGGTGGAATTAGTCGGATGTCTGAAGAAACAATGGCATCGAATGCTCCGGACAGTGGTTTCAGACGTGGACCAGGTGAATATCCCAATAAATGTATCATTATTATCTTTATCAAAATAAAAGAGTGGATTTTTTTTCTATCAACAGATAATATTGCAATTATATATACATTCAATATTTTGATGCCTAATCAGAACATTTTCGTCAGGGAATGAATAAGGCAATAATTATTAATCTAGGTGAATAACGTCATCATTCTAAATCTTTGCATGGACGATGTAGTAGTAAGAGTTCTAAGTAGAGCGTCATTAATATTCAGATGTTGTCTTTGTCTAGATATTTACCCATGTCATACAATCTAGGTTTGCTTAAAATGTAACGTTGGTTTACAGTTTCTCAAGCAAAAAGGGAAGAGCTTCTTCAACGGTCAAGAATTTTGAGCTATCAAAACCGTGTGATTACAGCAAACAGTATTAAAAAGGACGAACTGATTCATCAGCTCACTCTTGAAATCAAAAGCCTGAAAGACGAAAATGAGCAATTGAAACGCTGCATGAGAGTCCACGAAGCACGCGAGCACCGCGAGAATGATTTAGAACAGGCACTAGGGACAGAACGAGAGATTTCCCGACGAACGCGTGAAAAAAACCGTGAACTCCAGATGGAGATGGAAGCACAGGTTCGCGATTACAATCTGGACACGAGGGTGCACTCCGACTACAGGTTGTTACGTGAGGAAAACCAGCGCCTACAAGGGCAGGTCTTTGCGATATCTTCACAACTTGCCGAGACCAACAAAGAAATCAACCAAATGCGTGACGAAATTCAACTGCTAAACACCGAGAGGAACGGCGCTTACAAGCGTTTTGAAAATAAATCCAAAGAGCTAGAGAGTGCCCGGCATGAGTTGTTTGAACTGTTTAGGAAAACTTCAATGGCAGCGACCGAAAATTCTTTTCTGCAGAAAACCATTACCCAGCTGACGGATGACAACTGCAAACTTCAGTCAGAGATCCAAATGCTAAAACATGACAAGGAACAGCTACGAGAGAAGGAAAGGGAATACAGAAGAATGATATCCAAACTCAGCGAGCAGATTCTTAAGCTAAAACATACCAGCAAGGCTAGAAACCGTGAAGAGGACGGGTCTCGAAGCGCGAGTGCCCATACTTCCGGAAGTGACGAATGTACCGGATTTCAGTCTGCTAGCAGACGACGCCATAGACCAATAAGATTTGAACCGTATCAGTAAAAAAACAAATGTTTATATATATTTGTGTGTGTGTGTGTAAGTGCTCATTGAAATGAGCCCAATCCAAAATGAAAGCGTTCTTACAGTCGTGTAGATGCCTTGCTACATTACCTTTAACAAAAGGAAGTAGCCACAAATATTATCATATTAGCGATCATCCCATCATCCCATTGTTAACAAACAAGATGAACTTTGCAGTGTAGAAAATATACGTTTACATAACCTGAATTATAATCAGGGAAATGTAAGATATATGTGCCTCGTTGCATTACGTTATCACAAAACTTTTAGAATATTTAAAATATAGCATCTTCAAACTTTTTGTTATGTATTAACCATCAGTTGGTGACGTATAAAATGTTCAAGAAGGAAGTGGCAACATTCTATGACTACAACTTATTCCTAGCAGGAAAAGCGATCAGATTCTTACGCATTTTTATTGTTGGTTAACATTTATTTTATCCACGAAGCTATACTATTATTATTATTATTATTATTATTATTGTTGTTGTTGTTGTTGTTGTTGTTGTTATAAGCTAACCTTAATTTAGAGAGCGTTAACATTCAAGTTTAACAATGAGATATAGAAAATTCACAGTAAATTTAGGTCCTGTATGGTGTTGCATTAAATAATAACAAAACTTGAACAAGGTTTGTATATTAACATTATCCTATATTTTGCTATATATTAACCACCGGTTGGTGACTTGCCAAAACGTGTACGAAATGGCAACATTCCATGACTTCAACACATTCCATTATAAAGGGCATATTTCATTGCTGATAAACTGTAATCAATTCCCAAAGGTATATTCTATTATTTACTTTTATTATCGACAACACCACTGCATATTTACTTACACGCTGTATGCGGACTATGTTTACGGTCCAAAGGTTTTGATAGGTAGCGGTGTGACTTTATCTCTTGTTGTTACGCGAGTTAAGCCCAGGTCCCAACTACATTTTGGACGCACGGTTTTTAGGTTCCTTGCGTCCGGCTAGGACGTAGATAGATCGCACGTAGCGGCTGTTGACCATGTCGAAAAGTTTTTACGTGCTGTTTGCGTCCTCCAAAAGTTGCACGATGGACGTGCTCCTCACGCACGAACTCCCACGTTTTTCTCAATTTTTTGGCCGTAGACCACACGTAGCAGCCCGTACGTTCGGTTGGGACCTAGGCTTTAGTAAATACCACACTGTTATATTTTTTCATGTTTTTTTATTTACTGCATTCAAGATGGTTCCTGTACAGTGTTCTTTCATGTGCATTTTTAAATGGTTGGAAAAACAAGGAGAGAGATCACCACGTACTCATAATGATTGTAACAATGAAAATGAAATAAAATATTAGAAAACAGATAACATTTGAGTTGCACCTCTCTCAGCAACTAGAAAACTTCCGAATATCTCCCTAGAAAGTAACAGGAAATTAAAAGTAACACTCAGTACATGTTTGATTCATATTTTTGTGAAACTGATTGCCACTTGACAAACTTATGAAAAAACAAACAGAAAAATAATATATCTGTGAATTTATTCTGTCAGCCGTAATGATTTGCCTCAATTGATTCTGTCTTTATTTCTGATCCCATTCTCGCCACATACCCCGCGAGATCCCATGTGGTAAACTCTAAGACTTTAAGCTATAAAAGGTAGTTGTCCTTCTGTGAAAACAATGGGCCATTTAAATATAAAAATTGAAACTGTGTTATTTGCATTCACTCAAAGATTGTGACAGTGGTGTTTCATGTACAATTGCAGCAGTTGCACGAGGTGATGATGCTGTAGTGATTTCGAGAGAGAGCAATATTTGGCCATTACGCCCCTCTCTTAATAACAAAGTTAGAAGAACTGAACCAAGAACAAAACGGTAAAGTCAGCTTTCTCCAATATCTGGGTCTGAAAAAGTCAATTCCAAGAGACTGGAGACTCAGGGGACTCAGGGAAGAGACTCAGGGAAAATATTGACGGTATTTTGAATGATAACATAACAATATTCAAATCAAAAGATAAGCAGTAATCCATCTTAGGTAAGCTGACAGGTACTGGGAAACAAGAATCGGGGCCTTACTTTGAAAAGAGACGTGGGCTCTGATTTACACTGAACCTTATACGCATACTCAAGATGCAAGCTTACAAATTACAGTTCATGATAAATCATGGTATGTATTTTACTAATTATCGATTGGAAAAAAATGAAGCAAATTAAGTGAGTCAGAACTTTTGATCTTCAAGCATTAAATGCCCATGCTAAACGTGAAACACATCACACTCAATCACCATTTCATCAAGCTAGATCTGTTCCACAAGGTAAAAAGAAAACAGTCTTTGATGCATGGAATGACTATCATAGTGTTCCACTTCATGAATGCGATAGACATCTCACCACATTTATAAAGCCATGGGGGCGGTATCGCATTTTATGTAATTGGTTTTAAAGTGCAATAATACCAGTAATATTTTATGTTAAAATTCACCAGCAACAATCCCTTACGAAAATTTCCTATAGGATTCCTATAGGAAATTTCCTATAGGATCCTATAGAATTTCCTATAGGTTCCTATAGGAAATTGGCCCAATTTCCTATAGGATCTTATAGAATATCCTATAGGATCCTATAGAATTTCCTATAGGTTCCTATAGGAAATTGGCCCAATTTCCTATAGGATCCTATAGAATATCCTATAGGATCCTATAGAATTTCCTATAGGTTCCTATAGGAAATTGGCCCAATTTCCTATAGGATCCTATA